CAGAGACTGGCGAAACGTTAGGAAGAACAAATTTCAGAACACGGCCAAAGAGCCCAAAAAACCCACAACAACCATTAGATCCCAGCCGTGAAAGTCTTCGTGAATACAGTCTCACTGAAGTTGCTTGCAAATTATTTGTTGATCAATGAGACTTAAGAATGTCACAACATTGTTATAATCAGTGAGGATCCAAGTGAATGGGGGAAGAGTTCCAAAAATATTGTACACAACTGGGTAAACAGGCAATGTAATAACACAAGAGCTTGTACGTCAGTGTAAACTGATGCATGGTAGAATGAAGAAGTTCTGAGTTCACATGTGATCTGATCTGAACTGGCATTGCCTAGACAGGAACAAGTCTTGGGGTCATGGTAGGTAGTTCAGTAGGAATGTCAGCTCATTGTGTGATAACTGTGAAACAGACTAAACCCTGTCTAGGTTTCATTAAGAAGGAAAATGAAAATAGAACAGCCATTACGATAGACTATGAATGTCTGTATTATTTATAGTGACTATATTTAATCTATGGTGCAGTTACATTTGGAATCTTGGGTTCAGTCCTGGTCATTCCATCTCAGAAGGTACATTCTAGAGCTGAAAAAAGGTAGAGAAAAGAAAAACAAAAAAGGTTGGAACATCTTCCATCTGAAGGAAATTGGGACTGTTCTATCTTGGAAAAAACATGGTCGAGAAATGCCACGTCAGAGGTCAATAAAATTGTGCAGAGTGTGCAGAAAGCTGACAGACACATTTTTCCTTCTGGCAAATAGTTAGAACTTAGGATCATTCAGTGAACAGGAACGGTGTGGAGTTTTGGGCAGATAAACGGAAATGCTTCTTCATACAACATTTAGTTAAATTATGGAATTTGAATAGGTGTATTTGTAAAAGATTAGGCATGAGCTGCCCACCTGCCTAATTTTCTCTGAGTTTGGAAGGCATCTGAACTCTTGCAGGAAGCTTTGCATTTCATTTCACATATCAGGTTTTGGAGAATGAATTCAGATGTTTTGTCTTGCAAGATCTGAGGAGGGCAGAATCTTTTGGAGATCATTAATTCATATAGTTGCCATAAGCTAGGAGTGACTTTTGGCACATCAATCAATCAAACCTTTATTGGCATACACAAAACACCTAATCAAAACTACATTCAGTAAAACTTGTTTGCAGCTTTCTGGAACAATGACTTTTGGCACATACCATCTTTCCCAAAAATAAGACCGGGTCTCGTATTAATCTTTGCTCCAAAAAATGCAGGAGGGCTTATTTTCAGGGGATGTTTTATTTTTTTCATATACAACAGTCTACATTTATTCAAATACAGTCATGTCATCTTCTGGTTGCTGCACAAGGGTGGAGGGCGGGGTTTCACTTAACTAGGGCTTATTTTGGGGGCAGGGCTTATATTACGAGCCTCCTGAAAAATCATACTAGGTCTTATTTTCAGGTTAGGTCTTATTTTCGGGGAAACAGGTTAACAAGAATAGAAGAAAGTCCTCTCGCTTTGTTCTTAGCAGGGTTACTCTACTTGAAGACAGTATTATTCTAGAGAGATAAAATAGGAGAATATGAATCTGCCGCTTATGCTGGTTGAAGCATCCAGGGAATTATACGAGTAGTCCCAGAAAATTTTTTTCCAAGCTCTGGTTCAGATAGTGCAAAACTGAGCAAGATAAAGGGTTAAACTGGGTTAAATGTCTCCTGTTTTAAGCAGAAGATTTGGCAAATCTGTATTGTGCTGTAGGTGAAAGTTTTAGTTCTGCATGTGAATACCATCACTGGCTATTGAGTGATCAGAAAATGTTTCCACACCCTGGAGTTTTCTGTTGTCACATGCAGCTTTTCTTCTCTGGAAAGTGAATAGCTATGACAAACGGGGCTGAACACGGCCTTGCTTCTGTTTGGCTGCTCCTATCCGGAATGGGTGCTAACCGCTAACTTTGTCGGGGGAAGTGGGAAGGGACTCGGTTGAGCAAGAGTGGTTGCAAATGGGTGCGCATGGGTGGCACGCAGCTTCCTGTTACTGAGATAATCATCTCTAAATACAAGCTGATTTCACCCATATGTCAGGCCCCTTGATCACAAGGAGTTCCTTTTGCTCCAGTGCATTTGAGCAAAAGGGGAATATAACACCAAGAACTATTGGTATTCTTGGGGAACTGTGGCTTTCTTATAATCCATTTTGGATATTCTGAATATTAGGCAATTGTAAACAGTAAAATTTGTCCAGCAAATTTGACCCAAAAAGATGGATCTGGCTGTGTGTAGTGGTGTTGCCAGCTTGCAACAGAGATTTCCTCATATTATATTTAAATAAGGACGGTGAGGAAATTGCAGCTTCCCTTAACTGTTTGTTTGCCCTGCCTCTTGCACTAGGAGGTACAGCAAATCGAGGACATTACTTTTTGGATCACAGTTTGGAGATGCAACTAGTTTCTAACTTGAGAGGTAGATTTAGTTATGCAAGGTTAAACCCCTTGGTTATAGTTTGGCACCTGACTACCATTTAAATTCTGATATTTATAGGGGTTTTTAGAAAAGGTTGCTTACCTCCATATGTTTCCTAGTTGTATATTGTAGCGATCACCCTACTTTGGCTCAGGTAGAAGATTACAGTATTGGCATGAACCAATGAGAGCTGTTGGGAGGCGGAGCCAGAGAAACTAGAAGGGAGGGGTGAGTGAGAGTCTAGTCAGTTCAGTCAGAGAAGGATTTTGGGGTTTGAGGCAAAGAGAGAGTGTTTAAGGAATGATTAGTCAGAGTGTAACCTGTATTAATTAAGACAGAAGAGGTTAAGTAAAATACTGAAGCTCTGTTTAACTTTAAGAATGTGCTTAAGAACTATTCCTAAAACACCTTGTAATCAATAAACCTGTTTCTGTTTAAAAGTTCAGTACTGAATGGACCTCACTTTCATATGAAATACAGTATAAGCTGATAAAGAGATCAGCTGGTGGCAGCGTGTTAAAGGGCGTGTTGGGATACTTGTGTGAGTCTTGTGTTTGGTGAAACAAGCAGGGGCCACGGGGTGAATGTCACATATATGTATCTCATCTTTCACTCCAATGTGCTCAAGGTGGTATACATGTCTCTTTTTTCCTCTCCATTTTATCCTAACATCCCTGTGAGAGTGGGACAGACACTCTCTTCCAGGTTCAATCGGAAGAGAGTGTCTCACCCCAAGTCACCCAGTGAATTCCTGGGGATTCGTGGGAACTTGAATCTGGATCTCCAAAGTCCTAGTACAACACTTGAACCTTTACATCACACTGGCCACATTCATGGTCAATCAGCAGCAGAAGAGAAAGGAAAGAAATTGTAAGCAGGTTTTGAGAGTCTGGACTTCAACATTGCTTTAAACAGAGGTCGTTAACCCCCGGTCTGCAACCCGGTGCCGGGCCGTGGCCTGAGTGTGCCAGTGCTGGCGTGAGTGCTCCCCACCCCTTCATGCATGCGCCTGCGTGAAGGGGTGGGGAGCACTCGCGTTGACAGGCACGCGCTCCCACACCACTTTGCGCATGTGCCCAAGAGTGTGAACGCAGTGGGTGCCGCACCTTCCTCAGAGGCTGAGCTGGTCCACAGTCCCAAAATGGTTGGGGACTGCTGCTTTAAAATGAGTGTGGAAATAGTTACATTCGGTGAATTGTTTTTGTTTGTTTGTTTGTTTGTTTGTTTTTTGGACTTATATACCGCCCCATAGCGCTACAAGCACTCTCCGGGCCGTTTACAATTTAATTATGCAGGCTACACATTGCCCCCCCCCAGCAAGCTGGGTACTCATTTTACCGACCTCGGAAGGATAGAAGGCTCAGTCAACCTTGAGCCGGCTACCTGGGATTTGAACCCCAGGTCGTGAGCACAGTTTTAGCTGCAGTACAGCGTTTTAACCACTGCGCCACGAGGCTCTTCGAGGTTAAGAAACCTTCACCCTTTCCTGTATTCTCACAGTCGTCCTTCAACAGCACTTCTGTCTCCATTCAGAGTTGACCCAAACCATTTTGCTGCCTAAGGTGAAACAGAAAATGGCATTGCTACTCACCGAACTAAAACCACATACAGTAGAAAATCCTAGGAGGACTTCCCCATAAACTTAGGAGTAATATTACAACAATAAAAAAAATTAGATAACTATTTGTTTGTTACTCATTCACAGTACTCAAAAGCTGGCCCTTGAGGTGGCCACCTCACTCTGGTTAATGGTAGTGCTGGCCCTGTCTCCAACATGCATACATTAAGTGTCTGCACAAAATTCCGTGTTATTTCCAAAATTAATTCTTTATCTTACATTGTACTTCTCAATGGAAAACCTCTTAACACAGGAACATACGAAGTGGCCTGCTAGGTCAAACCAGAGAAATCTTTGGTCCAGCATTTGTTAATATAGTGAGCAACCACTTGTCTTTTGGAAGTGCATATGCAGTATGTATTTGTTATGTGTAAATCTGTGCTTTCCCATATTATTTCAGGCCAATGTCTTAACACTGAGCATTTTCTAAATAAGCGCATTCAGGAACATTAGCATCTTTGACTCTTCATGGGCTTCTAGCTACAACTACAAGGGTAATGGGGGGAGGGTTGTGTGTTTATATGTCTCATTTTTTGCTCTTGCTCTGTACTTGGGCTATTTCTAATATTCAGACCTGAAAATACTGTGTGTTCTTTAAAAGCTGCAAAAGGCAATATTTAAAGTGGTTTGATTCTTAAGGAAATAGCAGTACAAACCGAGGTTTGGGAGAAACATGTCAAGTCTTGGGAATAAGTGTATGAACAAGTAGTGTTAATACTGGATTAAAAGATGAATATGGAATCATTCTTTTGTTAAAAATAAGTCAAATAATTCCCCTCTTCCCCACCCACCCGCCAACTTGCTTTTAAAGCGTCCTCTCTTTTTCTTCTGATATTAGTAACAGCTTTAATTAAAATTTCAAAGTGGTTACAAGGTCAAACAATTAAATGATTCTGTATATATAATGATTCTCCCCTTTCTTCTTGTCTGCTAGAATTCTATGAACTTGCCACCAGACAAAATGAAGCTATTGAGCCAATACGACAATGAAAAGAAATGGGAATTGATCTGTGACCAGGTAAGAGAATCAGTATGTACTTCATCCTGAGTAGCTCCACAAGTCATATTTTGAGGTTACTTCAAACATTCATAACTGTGTGTAGTACTGTGTATGCTGCACAGTTTTTGACCATAAAAGCTGATAACATGCCTTAGTATTCAGGGTGCTCCAAGATTCATTGTTTGTTTTGTAGTAACACATGAACACAGCTAACTCTGATGATCTATTTGATGTTTATCTAGGGAGACAATTGTGTGAGGCAGTGTTTGGCAGGCAATGTTTCTGCAGTAAGAAGAGGGGTGTTATACCAGTGTGTGCCCCTCTTTTCAGTTGTGAAATACTGGATGCCATCTGGTTAACAATATACACTGGGGAAACCACCCCTCTACAAATCTGCTCAGGACAACTTTCCTTGGTTCAGCACTCAGCTGGCATTTTTCCTCAGGCTCATGTCATTCCCAGAGCTTGGGAACATTGTGTTTTTACCTATGATTCCCAGAATCCTCAGTGGCCTTGGTAGGGATAATGGGAGTTGTAGTTCAACAGATAACTTTTCAAAGCTCTGTTTCTTCTTTCTGAACTTTTTCCTTAGCCATCTGAGAATGCTGGTGACAAGCCATTCCCTATGCAGCTTAGAATTTGATTTAATATTCATACTGTGGCACAATTGTTTGATATACTGAAGATTCTGAACCAATAGGACCTTATGGAAGTTAAAGTGTATTAAGATGAGCAGAGAGGCTGCTGTGAATGTGTACATGTTTTTGTGCTAGCTTTATAAGATTCTTTTCAGGACCAAGCTTGGGGAAAGCATTTTCTACTGCTTCATGCACTGCTCTAATACCATAGACTTGTGACAGCACCAAGAGCCCTTTCTCAGAGCAATTCCTGTACTTACTTTTTAAAAAAAACTCAGAGAAATTTTTCTTCAAATTAGGTTTTAAATAGATAAACATCCAGGCAACACTTTGTACCATAAAAATGAATTTTTAAAAGGCAGACGGTCCATCTGAAGCATGGACAAGAGCCAACGCTGGGCATCAGATCAGCATTTGGTTTAGAAGACAAGTGCAGCTGTCACTTAGAATACAAACAGAAACTTACTGTGTGGCAGAAAAACACTATCAGCTCTTCTTCTTAGGTGTGTTTGTGGACATACAGAAGGTATTTTTTTAGAAAAACAAAGTGATTTAGAGAGTCATATCACTATTTGAACACCGTGCACATACATTATTTCCTCACCACTGGATCAAAAAGGTTTTGAAGGTTTCTGAAATGGCATTAAAACTTGCCTAAGCTATTGGCACTAGAGGAAAAAAACAAGATACATATGCATTTCAACCAAAGACTCTTTTAAATTGCCTACAACTCTTCGGAGGGAGAGAGAAAAATAAACCATCTCCAGCATAACAGAAACCGGGCAAAGAGGTACCTCTTCCCACTTATAAGAATCAAAGGAATGAAATGTTCAGAGACAGGGTCACTTCTTAGCGCAAGCTGCTAGCAGAGAGACATGTGTGAAAATATGGCACCCGTTCATGCTGTGAACTATATATTTCTCAGTTAATAAAGGAACAGGGTTGTGAATGATGCTGGGAAGACAGAAAAAAAAGGAGAGAGGAGTGACTCACTGTGGGCTTTGCAGATGTCTGTGTGGGATTCAGCCCTTCACAGCTTTGCTAAGACAGTTCTACCATAGGGAATAGTGTCTGAAATAGAAACCACTGGCAGTTTTTATGTGTTTGTGGAGCAAGTGGGCAGTATGGAAAGAGAAAGCAGCCCAGTCTCTAACTCTCTGCTCTGTGAAAACAGGTCACAGAGCCTGATGAATTGGGGCCCACCAGCGGCCACTGTGACTCACAGCAAATGCAATCGAGTGACAGGCAAGGGGGAAAGTCAGTCTCTGCTCAGTCGGCGGGGGTGAATCATGTGGAAAGTGGCAGGCAGTGTGTGTGGAAATGAGAATGTCCTCCTTGGTTTGTGAAGATAAAAATCCATCACTGTATGTGTGAATGTGTCTCTGGAGAAAGAGGGAAAGAAGAGTGTGAGGCTGCTAGTGGAGAACTGTGAGAGTTTATAGGAGGCTGAGCCAGAAAGCTCACAGAAAACAGGAAAACTATCCAGAGAGAAGCAAGGCAACTGCCTCAAGTAGTGGATTTGAGGTGCTACAAAGGTCAAAAGAGAGAAAGGCATACAGATCAGGCCTACAGGTCAAGCCCACTGGGAGGGTCTCCTGACTTGCTTTGTAGAAATGAATAGGAACTTCCTGGCAGCACTGTGCCAGGGGCAAGGGACCTTTCAGTCTCCTGATGTTTTAAGTTCAACTCCAGGGGCTGATGGTACAGGATATGGGGATCTGAGTTAGGTATCTGGCTACAGACCCAAGGGTTGGGAGCTTGATTCTCAACTGTGCTTCTGAGGAAAAGAGCCAGCCTGCATAGCCTTGGCAACCTGCACTGTTCCCGAAGTGCCACCAAACAGGGAGGGTGAACCACTTCTGAGTATTCTGTACCTGAAAAACCCTGGAAAGGATTGGCATAAATCAGAATTATCTTGATGGTACATAATTACCGCTATTAGTCCAATACACCTGGAGAACAAGATATATAGTAAACACTTTCTGGCCTGAGTGTATTCAAGACAGAGTGGAAGATACTCTTGGTCAACTTGTCTAAATGCCATCCACCATTACATTAATCTTTCCGGTAAACATTTGTTTCATAGAAGGAGAGAGACTGCCAGCTGCTAAGAGAAGCCTTTGCATAGTATCTCGGGGTAAGAGTATCGGCTGGCACAAGGCTGCTGGTTCATCCGCCCCTTGCTTTTGGTACGATGAGTGGGCTGGGCTCATATTTTAGGCTGTCGCCATTGCTGCTCCTGGCCCACCCTTGCTGCTGTAGCAAAGCCCTACCCGTTGGCAACCCTATTTGTGTCAGGGCCTTATTGGGCCCTGTTGCCAAGGGAACAAAACAGGCTGCTAGCTGGTAGGTTGAGGGGTTGCATAAAGTAGCTGCTGCCACCTGTGGATTACATGTGGAACGGCTGCTGCAGTCCTTCTTGTTGGCCTCCTGCTTTTACTTTTTATTAGCCTTAGATCTATTCAAATTCAACTTTTGTAAGGAAACACTACTTTGCAGAAAACACTGCCTTAAGAATAAGTAGAAGATGGAAACCAGAAATGGTTCCTTCCTAGAAAGAAAAAAGTCTGGCAAGTGGCCCGTTTGTTTGTTTGACCCCACTTTTCTCCTTAAAAAGGACCAAGGCAGATTGCATCATTAAAAGACAATATTTAAAACTTAAAATCATAATAATTAATTACAGTAAGCTCAATAATACATATTGTATTATTATTTATTATCAGTTAAACCTATGCCCCACCTTTCCTTAACAAGATCAAGGTGTGACTGTCCTCCTCTGCACCAGAGTCACAACAGCCCTGTGAAGTCTTGCAGGCCGAGAGACTATGACTTGTTCAAAGTCACAGAGGGAATTTAAATCCAGATCTTTTGAGTCCTAATCCATCACTCTCACCACTAGACCATGCTTGTTCCCATCATAAAACATTATTATAATAAAAAAAAGCCGTGCCCCAATTGGTATTCCTCCGATCAGTTGGCTAAACATGAAATGATTAGTGAGGAGTAGCCCTCAAACTTTTCCACACTAGAATGAATCTGCTGGCTTATATCCTGTTGCACTGCTATGCAAAAGATGTAACCTTTGGAGATGAATTGCCTCAAGTTTAGAAATTTCTGTAGGTATTTCTGTTGCATACCAAGTCACATGACTCACTATGCAACACAACAGAGTCTATAGAAATTTCTCAACTTGTGACATTTTTCCCCTGACTTTTGCATAGCCGGGTTTCAACTATTTATCTATTATCACTGAAGCAACAAAGACTCATTAGATTACTTTCAAGGATCATGCAATTCTTTTATTTTTTATATTTATTTGTTTTAAAGAAATGTTTTGAAAAGTACATATATGTTGTAAATAAAATATGTCAGATTCAAAGCCTCCTCCTGAAACTTTGAATTGGTAGTTCCTGCATCGTGGTTGCATTTGTGTCGCAAGTGAATATAAGGCCCTATAGCCATCCCAATTTACATTGGGATTTGTGTCACATCAACTGGGATGGCCTCCTTTCAAAGAAGCTTGGGAATTATTGTTTCATGAGGAGTGCTAAGAACTTTCTGCCAAGGAATGTCTTCTAGTCCTTTTAGGCCAAAATCCTAGAACTACATATCTAGGAGTAAACCTCATTGAATTCAGTGGGATTCATGTTTAAATAGAACTGTACAGAATTATGGTGCAAAGCTGTCCAAGAAGTGAGCTAAACCTAAATCTTTCCAAGGGAAATTGCATTCTTCTGTTGTACTGAAAATGCGTCTCCTAGCATGCAACCTTCTGCAGAGTCGACTTGTGACGAATCACCCTAGTTCCTGTCTGTACAGGAAGCACTACTGTATAGTCGGAAAAAGTTAACAAGTTTTAATTTTTAAGTTATGTGTGACCTTTTCTCTACCCTTTGCTTTAATGCTTTCCTTGGAAGTGAATTTTTCTTTTTATGTGTTTATGTAATGAAAATAGGATGCATGTGAAGGGAACTCCTGCAATATATTTTCATAAAACTACCGATTTCCTTGGTTGTGCAGTAGCAATAAACATTGTATGTATAGGCAAATATTCATAAACTGATACCATTTTCATTGGCACTTTTGAAAGTAATTTTGAATTTAGAAAAAGAAATGCAGGATGAGGTAATTTGAGAAGAATGTTATTTTTTCCACTAACTGGAGGAGATATCTTGGTGTGTATAGATGTAGCTTCTCAGTAAAGCAAACAAAGCAAAGTGTGCTGCTTATATACCGCCCCATAGCACTGCAAGCACTCTCTGGGTGGTTTACAAATTAATTATGCAGGCTACACATTGCAAGCTGGGTACTCATTTTACCGACCTCGGAAGGATAGAAGGCTGAGTCAACCCTGAGCCAGCTACCTGGGATTGAACCCCAGGTCGTGAGCACAGTTTTGGCTGCAGTACAGCAGTTTAACCATGGCACCACAAACCTATACTTGCATGTAGGGGTCGGGAACTTGAGTTTGACTCCTGGTGTCTCCATGTATTCATGGGAAACAATCTTATTCTAAACACTAGAGAGCTGCTTCCAGACAGTGACCTATACTCGCATGTAGGGGACAGGAACTTGAGTTTGACTCCTAGTGTCTCCAGGTATTTATGGGAAACAATCTTATTTTAAACACTAGAGAGCTGCTTCCAGACAGTGTTAGCAGTACTGGACCAATTGTCTGACTCAGCTTTCCATGACTATGAGGTGAGGTAGTTTATGGTTTCATGATGGAAACACAAGATCTGGACTAGAATACTAAACTGTAATTAACTGAATCAAATTTGAATATGCAGAGCAGCAACTGTGACTATTGAAGTGTCCCTCTGCATTCCTCTAGACTCTTTTGTAACTCAGCCTAGTTACTCAGTGCTTTGATTTGCCTACGAACTGCGATATGCTAACGTCCAGATCCAGATCCAGAATACTGTAGCTGCATTGTTTTTTGGCTGGGAGATACGTGATATTGGGGGAACTGCGATATGCTAACGTCCAGATCCGCATTGTTTTTTTGGCTGGGAGATACGTGATATTGGGAGTTCAGCAACTTCTGCAGGGCCAGAAAAATGAACCGATAGTCTCTCTATTTTTTTTTTCCTTATAGGATGCTTGCATCTTCAGATCACATTTGTACATATTGTTCTTGAAGCTGTCTTATAGGATGCTTACATCTTCAGAGCACATTTGTACATATTGTTCTTGAAGCTGTTGATAGCATGGTTGTGTCTTCAGTCCTAACTCTTTCATGACCATCCATCTGCAGGAAAGGTTCCAGGTCAAGAATCCTCCTTCTGCCTACATCCAGAAATTGAAGAGCTATTTGGACACAGGTGGATTCAGTGGAAAGGTGACTTACAATTGACTGATATAATGTTTAGAGAAGGGAAAGCTTGATGAAGTTACATAGCTTTGATGTCTGTTGGGTACTGGCAGTTTGTGAGGGTTCAGTTTTTTGAACTTGGGTCTCCACCAAAAAAAAAATCCTTAGACTTTGATAACTTTGCAACAGGGGAAAGGTTTATTTGAGTATTTAACAAGAAATCTTTGTCTATAAAATTGCCCAATAACATTTCTCCTGCTGCCAACGGGTCCGACATGGGCATCTTCACATCATTCAGGAATGGGTTCATTTCCTTTGGATTCCAGGGACCTGGAGGGGATTGTCCTTTAATATCTCGGCATCCTCTACTTCCAGTAAGGGAATGGTCTCGTCCTCACCGGTTCCGACCCACTCAGCATCCCGGGTGTCGGTGAATAAGGTCCAGGGTCTCCTTGGGAATCCTTCCTCCTCACCTCCTCAGCTTTCCATCTCAATCTTTCCTGTTTTTCACTTTCTACCTTTTCTTTCTCCTCTCTTAGCCACCTCCGCCACTCATGAGCCTCGGCTTCACCCCAGTAAGCAGGACATGGGGGAATCTCTCGCCTCCAGCGGTAGTCTGCCTCTTCTCTGGGCACCCAGAGTCATTCCCACTCTCTGGTCCAAGGGTCTTGTGCCCAGATCCACTCCCAACCTGGAGGCAATCCTTTCTCATCCCTTTTTATCTCTGCTGTCCCTGCCTCAATCTCAACCCTCTTTTTCTTACCCGTTCCCGCCAAATGGTCTTCCGTTTGAACGGCTACCATTAACCCATGCATTTTAACTTCTAGATCCCGGGTATCGGTACCCCTCTGTTCTTTTATAACAGGGGATGGAGTGGGCAAGGTCTATATCTCCCTTTCTGTAGTTGGTGGAAGAGATGGCACTCCAGCGAGAGGCTTCTTTCTCTCGCCTTCGATCCCACACAGTTCTTGGCCAAAAAACCCCAACTTTTCCAAAATCTGAGTGTAATCACAAGCATATTCTTCTTTTTCTCCCCAATGTTCACTTTGCTCCTCATGTAACGTCACTATGAATATTTCTGCATAAAAGCAAACTGTTTTGCAGAAGATCTTGCTTTTAAAAGAAAAGATTACCAATATAGCTTTAGCAGTCTTTTGGCCTATAGGCAGCATAAGGCTATATGCTATATTTACTTACCTCCATCCCTTCCTCTCTACCATAGATCTTTTCTCTAATAACAGTTGCTCTAATACCAAACCCCCTATGCAGTTGGATCCAATTCACACAACTGTTTGTGCCATGTTCTTTCTGCCTAGGATCTGTTGAATCTCTCATCTCCCTATTGCTGTTGTTTTTTTTTCCAAACTATCACTGAGTGTATATATTTGGAAAGTTAGGAGTGGCACACTGCAATTTTGTATACCCTTGCAAACTTTGCAAAACAAGGATTGAGAAATGGCATGGAAAGTTTTCATTTCTAATCATGGCCTAGAATGCATTAACCCAGAGCATGCTTCCTTTGAGCAGGACAGTTTTCTAGTCAAAGCAAGTGTCTCTGCTTGCATTTTCTTGGATGTGTGCAAGTGTGCCTGGTTTGCATCATTTAGTGAACTAGTATGTCAGAAGGGGTTGACTTTGAACTTGGATAGTAATAAATTACTATTTGAAGTAGCAAAATATGTATGCAAATGCCATCGGGTGTAAATTATATATGTACCCTTAAAAACTAGGGTAACCCTCTAATCAAATTCAAAATTTCCTTAACGCTAAATAGATTTCTTAAATATGGATCAAGAGATTAGTTGAGCAAGTGCCTTTATTGGAGGCACTTCTTCCATTTTCTTCCAGTGCTCGCAGTTTTGATCCTTCCCTGGGGGAAATCGGCAACCTCTCTGCATTAAGTAGGGAAGCTGGAATTGAGAAAGGAGCAGGCATTGACTTCAACAGTTATGACAAGGAAACAAGACTATCTAAAGGAACATAGGCCGTTCTCAATGCTCTGTATGTGTTTGCTCAGTTTAAACTAAATGTTTTTTGGAACCCACATTGAAGACCTTAATGTATGAACTGACTGTGATACAAATAAGAATGTTGGAAACAACACTTGTTTATATGTCATGGGTTGTTAACTTGACATACTTAACTTATAATGGATTTTTTGTTTTGTTTCCTTTATGTAGTTTAAAAGACGGGTTCAAGAGTCCACACAAGTTCTTCGGGAGCTTGAGATATCTCTGAGAACAAACCACATTGGGTAAGTACCAGTGCTGTATGCAGCTGTTATTTATCAGGTGATTAGGAACTCTGCACATTGCAATCATAGTAATTCTCATCTTGCTCTCAGTTTGAAGACTCTGAGGAGCCCTGTACTTATGTTTTGAGATGTTCATTATATTGGTTCTTGACTGCCAAAAATATGCTTCATATATCTTGAAAGGGCAGGCAAATTTTGGCCAGGATCTTAAGTGTTTCTGGAGATACACTGTGGGAACATGGATCATTTTTTCTTCAGTACAAACCTTGTGGTCAGGAAGGGCATTAGCCAGAGTTTGTTAGTTGTCTCAAGCAGCTTATACTAAGGGACAGAGGCTGATGAGGGACAGAGCTGGTTGCTCCATATAACGTCTCTGAATCTCTAAATTAGCCCACTGTCCTTAAGTGTGATGGAGGATGCTGGTCTGTTGCCAAATGAGATTGCCAGTATAGTTACCTTTAGTGTATGTACAGGGTGAAGTGCGGTGATACCATCTTGTCTTTTACCTGTTGCACCCAAGTGCTTTGAACCTCCGCTTTTATGGTAGGTTGAAAATGTTGGATGCTTTTCCATAAAATCCCTTAACTTGTAGCATTGTAGCAGCTTTTTTGTTTGTTTGTTTTCTGAGAATGCACAAAAGGCTGTGCTGAGCACCCGAAGAGCCCAGAAGCCCATACCAGGCTGTTAGGAAACTGCCCTTTGTGTAATTGTGTGTTATGTAATGTCAAGCCACACCAAATGATAGCAACTCTAATAGGGTTTTCAAAGTATGTGAGATATTTAAGCGGTTTTGCTATTGCAAAGCCCTAGCAACATTTCATGGCTGGCTGGGGGTTCAAACACAGGTCTTCATCACTCTGTTACTCGCCACTAGTTTTAGTTAACCGTACCAACATTAAGTTTAATTCAGCTTCTAGCCTATCCTGTGACTAGGTAAGATGCTGAATTTGGGCAACAGTTAGAGTGAGACTAACACTGTTTCCACCTGAAGATCTAATTCTTTGTATGCCAAGAGCTGTCTCAAAGGTCTCTTTACCTTCTTCTTCTCCAGTATCAGTAGCAACAGGTGCTTTGACCATATCTGCCGCCTAATCTGCACTTTCAGCCATTCATTCCCTTTCAATTCTGTTTTGGTCCATTACTGATGTGATCCTTTGTTGCTATTCAAATTTGTGGTAGGCATAGATGATCAAAAAGCAATTTCCCTGTACCTTCAAGTGAGCATCTGAGGTTTATCATAAGGAAAGATCCTTATTAAATTGTCTGTTGTGGTTCAGTTAATTTGTCCTTTCCTTTTGGTGGAGCTTATATATAGTATTGAACTAGTGATGGTGTCTTTCCAAAGCGGAAATGCAGCTGTGTTGCATAGCAACAGTGGACTGTTCGGGATCAAGGGCTATGCAGTAAACAGATTGGAAAGACCATAGAGAGCTTGGATTGTGCCTCCAGAATGCAGGCTGCCTGTATCTAGTTCATACCTCCCTAAATACACTGGTCTACTCTGGTTTCAGACACTGAGCAGGCTGGATAGGAAGCCATCAGGTTGGGCTAGATGAAAACGTCTGACATTCCAGAGATCAGTTGCCAGTTCAAGCTGACAATACTTGGCTGGATGGACCAAAAAATTGCCTCATTGTAAGACTGTTTCTTAGATTCCATTGGGCGTGACCTGTATCTTCTTCTACAAGTATATATTTCTACCTTCATAACTTCCTTTTTTAATGACAAATCAGAAGTAAAATTAGGGAAACAAAACAACATAGATTAGAATAAATCCATTATTTCTGGGTTGTCATTTCCTTGAACAGTGCAAGAAATAAAAGCACATTAAGATCTTGTTAACCATGTGTTAAATGTTAATTGTTCATATGAACGTGTGCGTCACTGTGCGTTAGACTGATGAGCTGCCCTGCCACCTTTGTTCCGAGTAGACCGTGCTGCCCTCTCGCTACTCCAGTACCCTCTCTTTTTGGCCTGTGGGAGAGCATCCCGAGGTTTGTGACAAAGGTCCCAGCTCTCTGGAGGAGAAGGTGACCCCAGCATATCAGAGGCAGCAGCCGGCACCCTTAAACGACAGTGATGTATGCAGGCTAATTAACAGCTTAGATGGGGAAGCATTTATCCCTCTAGATTGATTGCCTGCCAAGCAGTGAGAACATAAAAAGGAACAGTGGAAGCCAGCATGCACACGTCCTGTCAGCGTCTTGTGATAAAATGTATTGTTGTGCCTGATGCTGCCATACAAAAGAAGGAACAAATTGAACATGGGGGGGGGCAGCACAGGGCCTTTGCTCCAAGAGATGGAGTGCAGCCCTGTGAAGGGAGTGCCAAGCCGTTCTCGCCTCTCATGACTGAATTCATGTCTGCCTTTGGCTCGTGTCTGTAATTTGCACATTATTACCTGTATTGGCCAGGATATATATTTTGGCTTTAAAAGAGCTCTCTGTTCTTTTCTGTCCCCCACTGACATAGTGCATAAATAACAAAGCCAATCCTAAATTGGTGCCTAGCAGCCCCTGTGAGTAGCTCTTAGAACCTACGCTTCTGTGTTCAGATTTTTTTTTTTTCAGTAAAAAATTCATCATGAGGTCACTGGTTTGGATTCAGGATTCATTGTTCTTAGAGAAGACCTCTTGATACGCTCCATGAGCTAATGGCTAATTTAGATAGCATTAGTTTCAACAGGTGTGTTCTAAGAATAACTGAGTTTGGCTCTTTGGTCTTTTGTTTCCACCAGAGGCTATTTGAAATAGGTGGGCTTCTAAAGAAGTGATCAGTTGAGCGCCTCCAAGTGGACATGTTCCACAGGGAAGACAATTCTAGTTTTTCAACTCATGGGTCTACCTGCACACAAATTTTGGAAAATTACTTATACCCCAAGGGGATTTTGATGGTTGTAATTTAGAAAAGTAACTTTTCAAAGCTCTGTCCCTGTATAGTATAAGTGCCATTTGTAGGGGCTGGGGGCCAAACTGTCCAAGATAACATTCATACAATTAGCAATTGAGTGGATGGCTATCAGTAAGTTAGTGGCAGGCATGTGTCTCCTAATCTGAACAGAGATTCTCACTATCTAGGTATTCATAAATGTCCCCCTCTCAAGTATGATCTAGCCTGGCTTTCTGCTATATTTACAGTACTAAAAGTAAGGGAAATGTTCCCATTCACTCTAATGGAAGCTTTTATTTCCAATATAAATAGCATGTTTGTAGCATATTATCCAGATCAGGACTTCTGGGGAAGGAGGGCTAAGAACCCATTGCCCCTCACAAAAAAAGCCTCAGGCTGTACTTGCAGTTTTACTTTTAAGAAGCCATTTGTGCCATTGCTAATGATGTGAATTCGGTCATAGCTCCATTGCCCTTAAGAAAAACAGTTTTCAATTACTATCAGATCATGCTGTCTACAGCACCAATTAGTTGCAGCTCCAGGGAACAGATACCATGTTCCAGGTACTGCTGGACTGAAACTTGCATCAGCTTTAGCAAGCATAGGCAGTGGTCCAACAACATGTGGCAGGACAACCATTCCCCAGTCCTCACTCAGTGGAAAAGGCTACCATTATGAGAAAACGCAACAGTGAGGTCTCCATGCTTATATAGGAAACGGGCTGCATTGGCCACAGATTGCTTAAAAGCAAACCCCAGAATAATTTCAGGGCTTGGGGAAAATAAAAGGAAGAAGAAGAAGAAGAAAGAAAGGTCCTTCAGTGCAAGCTAATTGCAGTTCATTTTGATCCAGTAAATTGACTGGGCTTTCAGGTAACAAACTCTGAACTTCCTTTGCTGTAAAATTTCAGTCATCAGGCAGTTTTTAGCTTGTAATACTTTTTACACAAGAGATGGCGACGCTTGAGTAATAAATGAAATCCATCCAGATGGACTGATTCAAGATTCACAGTATAAATAAGTGCTTTCATGGGGAAAATTGACCATGAATATCACTGAACATAACAGGACATGGGGGTGGAGAGAAGGCAAGATGACTGCCCTGTATGTATAACTGATAAATATTCTAATTTGTTCCCAGGCTTGTTTCCTATCCTTAAAAACTGAGCTATTGCAATACAATCATATATATATATATCTATGCTGAGAAGGAAGTCCCAATGAGGTCAGTAGGGCTCACTCCCAAGTAAGCGGGAAGGCTATTCAGTTCTACTAGTGTAATTTTCAGGAATATTGTTAGATTAAACAAAAGAAGGTAAAGCACCGTGTATATTAAAATTGCTTTATAATTATTAATGTTACCAACAATAAGAAAAGCATGAGGAATCTGTTTAGACTTTAGACTGAAAAAACAAGAGAAAATGAAAGGGATTGTGAGTAAGATACATAGAAATTCAAAATTTGGGGAAACTTTTTTTTTTACTCTTCCCATTTGAAGACAGACTCAAACTGTTGAGAATTTTGATTATAACGTACATTCTCATAACATCAGCAGAGTAAGGAGATATTGGTTAGCAGAGATACTTATGACACTGAGAGAGTAAAACCAACAACTTAGTCTATTTACATATATACATAGAGAATAGACATTCCTCTGGCAGCATAACATGACATGAAGCAACAAGCAGCATAGGAAAAAGTGATCTGACTTACAGCAGATAAAGACATTTATTTTACACATGACTTATGTACAGTTCTTTTACCAATCAGAAAATACATTACTTCATTTTCTGTTACACAAAGTTTCCTCATGTACCACAGCTGTACAACATTAAGTCTTAATCCTTGATACCCACACCTGAATACAATCTATACATGACTCAGGTAAAATCAGCCATTTTACATTTAACTATACAACATTAATATTTAATAGATTTTCATATCAGAATCTCAACATGTCCTTTCCCCTCCCCTTTTCACCCAGATGGGTCCAGGACTTCCTCAATGAAGAGAACAAGGGGCTTGATGTGTTAGTGGAATACCTCGCCTTCGCTCAGTGCTCTGTCACGTAAGTCATTGCTGTTACTTGACCAGAAAGGGTTAGGTAAGTGAGGATTAAAGGAGGACTGTGATGGAGAAAGTATCTAGATGCAGTGCCTGCCTTTGTCTACTGCTGTGGTCCATGATCTAGCTCAGAACACTAGCAGGTACCCAACAGTAAACAGGCTGAGATTCTCTATATCTGATAAAGCTATTTTATCACCATAACTGGCATTTATAAAGATTAATACTTGACTTTATTTAGTGTGTTATTTATTAAAAGGACCTTTGCTTTTCAGTCCTCTCAAAGTTGTCTACAAGGGAAAAAAAGCATTATTTTAAAAACAGATTTTGAAAAGCTTTTAAAAGCTGTCTGCCCCTGGGAGAAATATATGTGCCAGTCACACTTTGCCAAATCTAACCCCTGTTTTATTATCTGTCTTGTCTTATCTCTCTCTGTTTCCCCATTACTGTGAAACAATGCTTCCAAAATCCTTCCAAGGGAATCAGATGACACAAAATAATTATAAAGCATGGAAATAATTCCTTCAGATCACTGTAACTTCAAGCATTAACAGAACAAGGAAGAAACTTTTGGCCAAATTGTGTATATGTTTCATGTCATTCTGAGTTCCTAATGTAGGTTTAGCATTTGAGGTAATATGGATCCAAAGGTAGAAAAATATTATAGTTCTTCAAATTCTTGGCTGCCACTTTCCTATCTGTGCCTGGCATTAAGAAAAATAAAAATAAAAAAGAAAGCCAGCAAAAATGACTTAATGTTATTATTCCTATTAAAAAGTTAGATTGCATACAGTCTTGCTGGGAGACATTTGCCCAGATTTTTGTTCAGAGTTCTGTTCAAAGGACTTGGAGTCCTCTAAGTCAGGAGTGGGAGACTGGCAGCCCTTGGCCAAATTTCAGTCAGGGAGGAAACAGTGGCCTCCACCTACATTTGTCTTTGACTTTGCACACAGCTTAGAAAATTTTTATCTTGGACTTCAACGTTCAGAATCCCCCTACCAACGTGTTTGTAGAATTCTGGGAATTCTAGTCTTAAAAGTAACTTTTTCCCTCTGTCTTCTTGCCCAAGACTCATATGTATCTCTTGACAGATTGCTCCCCCCCCTTACCCAGGTCAACAACCAACAAACAAAAGTTTCTCCAGCCTTGCTGTACTATGCTTCACTTACTGATAACTTTATTGAGGAGTTTTCTGAAAGGAAATTATGCCCCTAATTTGGTCCTAGGAGTTCTTGCAGATGTACTGTAGCTTTTCTTGTATAGCTGTCCTTCCTCAAACATCAGGTATCACAGGAGGTCCAGATGTTCTCGTCTTCCATTTGTAACCCTCCCATATTTCCAAGCTCTTCCATCTTTTTTTAATTACACACACATGGAAAGGATAAAAAGATGGAACCGCGGCATAATGCTTTTGATTAATAGCTTTCAGAACCCTCATTCTGAAAATCCTGTGGGACAAGAGATCATGAAGGGATTTCTGAATGAGTGTCTGGTTCTCTGTAAAGGGCTCTCAGTCTAACAGAAGCTCCCCTGCCCTCATAGCAAAGTGAGGATAATAGCATGGAGCAGTAGCATGATGCTTAAACAAATTTACATGCTTATTTTATGTAACTTTTTCTGCTTCTGCTAGCCATAAGAAGCAAACAAGCAAATGAACACTGTCTGCACCTTTCCATGGCCTGCTTGTTTTCAGGCTTTTCTCCACTAATGTAAAAAATTAGAATCCTTTTTACAAGCACCTACAGTATATGACTTATTGGTTTAGGAGTCTGGCTGAAGCTTGCATCAGCTTTAGAGAGCAGTGTGCCTCCTCTAAGTAGAGGCGTTACCCACTGTGCCTGCTGTGGCTAGAGACAGCCTGTGTGGCCTTCGGCAAGCTGCACAGTCCCAGGGCACCCCATGAAGAAGAGAATCGTAAACTACTACTGAGTACTTTCCACCTAGAAAACCCTGAAAAGGGTTGCAATACATCAGAATTAAATTGACATCAGAATTAAATTGACAGGGGCTGGACATGATGATCTATAGGGTCCCTTCCAGCTCTGCAATTTTAAGATTCTAAGATGATGATTATTAAATGACATATGCACTGTACATAGAAAGTCTTAACTCCAAGTGCAACTAAGCTAAATCAGCACCTTGGAGAGCAACCTGGCATCAACACTGCCAGAGAGGAAATGAGGCATGAAACATGTTTGGTACACTGATTTGTGAATGGGGAAGGTAACAGTGTTAGCGGTCTGTGGTAGCTGCATCAATTTTTAATCAGTTCAATTGTGTATGCCATTAGTGGCAGACACCTTGCTTGCTTGCTTCCTTCCATCCTGTGGCAATCCTCTTGACAAATCCTTCTCTCTGGCCTGCTGACGCACATCTGTTTCTTATATGTGTGGCTGCAGGTATGATATGGACAGCACTGACAATGGGAGCCCCGGCTCCGACAAGGGAAAACCCCTGGAGAGATCTATGGAAGACCTCAGCAGAAACAACTCCCCCACACAGGGCTCCACCAAAACAAGGCACTTCACTGCCAGGTAATAGAATGAGCAGCACTGGGGAACCTTTCTTGAACCCCCCCCTTTTCTTTCTAATGGGAGGCAGCAAATGTACTGGGGGAGAGGCAATTCAGCTTTTCATTCTCTCCCTGCCCTGCACACTCTTTAGAGGATGCTAAATCAAATTCCTCATTTTAAAGCACATACAGTGGTGCCTCGCAAGACGAATGTAATTCATTCTGCGAGAAGCGTTGTCTTGCGAAAAAAATCATCTTGTGAGGTTCCCATAGGGAACCTCGCAAGGCAAATGAAATTTTTTCATCTTGCGAGGCATCGGGCTCAGAAAAAAAAATCATCTTGTGAAGCATGGCCATAGAAGAAACCGTCTTGCGAGGCACCATAGTGATCACAAAAACCAATCACCTTGCGGGTTTTTCATCCTGTGAGGCATTCGTCTTGTGAGGCACCACTGTACTCCCTTCAGACCCCAGCAAACCTAAACACTCAATTAGCCTTTACTTTTCTTGAATTGAATTTATTTATTTATCGCCAATCAAAAGCTGCTATGGAAGAGTATTTTCCAATACAAAATAAATCTTGAAATTGAGAAGTCATTTCTGTTCATGTAAAACAGCCTGCCTCCATCCCATAAAAGTTCTTCAGCTGCATCAGAATGAGCAACAGCTAAAAATCTGAGCTATGGAGAGGTATCTTAAGTTTGCTAATTAGGTAGCAGTTATCTAACTGAACAGTGATTTGGACCATCTCACTCAGATTCTCAGCTGTGTTGAAAAACAAAAAAAGAGAGTCTTGTGGCACTTTTAAGACCTGAAAGGAGTGGGATAAGAAGCTTTCAATTAAATTAAATGTTAGCATTGTGGGTTTATGACACTAAACTACTTGTATGGCATCAGGTTACATTATAATGTAAATAAATAAATAAATATTGTAGTAGGGTTTCAGCCAATATCTACTGTCTTTAGATTGGATCTTGGAAAAGTTACATTTTGTGATTACTATTCTGAGAATCCTGAATCTAGCATGGCCACTGGAGAAGGCTGCTTTGTTTTCCTTCAGCAGTGTCTGGAGGGCCCATATTTACTGCTTCTGTGTTCAGTTGCCCCTTGTGCAAACTCTGGAAGTCAGTCATATTATGTATCTCCATGCTATGCTGAAGACATAATTCATTTGCTGTTTATTTTTAAATCAAAAGCAGTGTGTCTCTTCAATACTGCAAGCAGCGGCATGGAAAGAGTCCCTTGCCTCTACTCACATGCATGGCTTCCTCCCAAGCATGCATATAGACTTATCAGGCAGGGACCAGATGCTATTTTGGAAACCTTTCAAGCATCCTCTCACATGGCAGCTGTTAGATCTTGATTTAGTGTAGCAAATCAGTCAATCTGGTGTTCTGAAAAATCAAACCAAGCCACTTGGAACAGTGGCCCTCACTACAGTTAAGTTTGAGAACTACTCAACTTGATAGTTTATCCTCTAGTTCCTACCCATTTCAGTGGTCTATGATCACGGCGAAAACAAACTGCTGTTAAATTCTCCTTCCCTTGCTTTTGACCATTCTGGATACGCTGGTGTTGAATGGATGCCTTCCTTCTGCCAAATGATGCATTGTGGGTTTCTGTTTTCCAACTTCCTTTGTCTGGCTTCTCTTTCTCCTTATTCTAACCCAACACTTCTTTTGCACGCTTCGTTTGGGACGTCATATGGTAGGTACCCAGCCTCTGCTCCCTTCAGAATGGGTGAGGAATAAAAGCATTTCTGCAATGGCTTGCTTATTTTCTGAGCTCATCAGATCAAAAGAGACAGACAGAAAGCAGAAAGGATGCAAGAGTATGCTATGGACCACTGTACCATGACATTTTGCAAAGGAGGACGCGTGCCCCCCCCTCTAAGAGGCAAATATTAAATGAAGCACCAACCGTTACTTAGTCTGGTGGTTGTATTTCCTCGTGGTGCACTGAGGGGGCCTTCCATGTTTTGTTAGTCTGAAATTGATTTCTCTTGCATCTGTGAAAGCAAAGTTCGTGTTGCTCTGCTAATTCTCGAGGGGTAAAACAAAATGGACACTGTTTTTCTCAAGGGATTTGAGGCCTTGTGGCTCAGATTTCCTAAATATTGCAGTAGATAACAAATACCCTTTGCAAAGCTTGGGAAGTTACTTTGAAGAAGAATCAATGTAAGGGCTTGATGAAGCCATGCATAAGTGAGCTGTGGTAGGCTGATGGTTCTGCAAGGTCCTTACAGTCATTCTGAGGCTAGATCAGCCATTCAGGGCAAAGGAAGGCTCTCTGTAGTTTTGAGGTCTTGGATGTGACAGAGCTTACCATGAGTGTAGGGAAGAAAAGCTAAACATGACTGACTTTGTGACCCCCTAAGCAAAGATTTTCCATCCTTGGGCCCCGTTCAGTGCCAGAGAGAATCCAGAGAGGAAAGAGCTCCTGCCACACAACAAGCCATGCAGGCCATGTCAGTGAAAAATATAGTACAGTGGTGCCTCGCTAGACAGGTACCCCGCACGACAGTTTTTTCGCTAGACATTGACTTTTTGCAATCGCTATAGCGATTTGCAAAACAGTGATTCCTATGGGGGAATTTTGCTGGACAATGTTTGGTCCCTGCTTCGCAAACCGATTTTCGCTAGACAACAATTTGCTTTTCGCTAGACAATGATTTTGCTAGATAGTGTTTTCAATGGAATTGATTATCATCGTCTAGCGAGGCACCACTGTACAGGAAACAATGTTTTGCTGAGATGGTGGCAGTAATAAGCCACAGATCTGGACCAGAGACTTTGAAATGGTTTCAAGGTTACTTTAATAGCAAGAATAAACTCTTTCCCTGTGTTTCTGAAGCCACCACTTTCCCCTGTGGTTGGGGGATGGAGGGGGAAGGGAAGCATCCACCTGAAGCATCCTATTTTTCCCTCCTGTCCTGCAGGGTTGCTCTCTACCACCTCCTTCAGGTGTTGCCATTTGAACCAGCAGATCCAAACATTCTTTCAACAAGTCCACCCAAGCGTCCCCTCCTCCAGCGCCCCTGGGAGCGAGCAGGACTGTAAGCCTAGGCCACCTGTCAACTCCTACTCACCCCGGTGAGCCTCTCTCCCCACACACAACCAGAAACTTCCCCTGCGAATGCAGTCAAAGGGCATAAGCTTGGCTAGGCAAGGGCATGCTCCCCTCCCCCTTAAGCTTTTGTGTTAATTGGCAGGCACTCCAGATACAGAACAGCAGGAGCTCTTGCAGCAGTAAGGTCTGCATGGTCAAAACCCCAGATTATGCAATTTTTAAAAAAAGTTCTGTAACTGGAATGAATTTTGTAATCCAGGGTGTTTTGCAGATATTTGCATGCTTTTATTTATTTTTTCGTTGCACAATAATGTTTTGGCGCTATATCTATTTGTGTGTGGTTTGTTGTTGCTATTTTCACTGGGGTTTTTTTTCTGTTATGTGCAAGCGATTGGAGCTGATGGGAATAGGGAGTCGGAAGGGGACGTAATGCAGTCATGGGAAAAAGGGACCAGGTCATGCTGAGTGAGGAAGACCCCAAAATGTTTGCCCACCTTTTGTAATTTGTTTGTTTCAGTTCCTTTTCTCAAACCATAAGGTCTAGACATTTTTTTCTAACATTGAGATTGAAAAGCTCAAATTCTTGGGACCTGAAGAGCAGCTGTCACACCCAACACCAATTGCTATGTCCCATATGCATACAGAACCATGTCAATGGCTTCCCATGGAATATTATCTTATTGTAATACTTTAAGCTGTTTCTGGAACCCCCCCTTCCATGGTCCAATGGATCTCAGTCCCCCGGTCTCTTCAGTAAATATGGTTTCCTAAGAACCAGACAGAGACTTTTTGTTTGTGACAACATCTTCCAGGCAGCCTTTGAACTGGTGACCTAAAGTCCAAAGAAATCTTTATGTTGCAGTCCTGCAAACCAACCTAACCATCCCTTCCACCCCAGTTTCCTGCTCCTCAGGTCCTTGTTCTTGTGAACCTCTTTATGCAGTTTTCGATGTTTGATGTCGTTTCTAATTTGGTTGTTTTCTCTTCCCTTTATTTCTACCTCAGATTCAATCCGGCACACAGCAGGAAGGCACTGCGGAACTCACGCATTGTCAGCCAGAAGGATGATGTCCATGTTTGCATCATGTGTCTCCGAGCTATCATGAATTACCAGGTGACTGGGAGCAGCCATGCAAAAGGGGCTTGTGCAGCTGTGGGAAATGGGGGTGGGGGAGAGGGACCCATTAAATGTGCATAATGTTCTTCCTGAAACACACACACACACATATATGCACATCAGAGATGACTGATGACATAGAAAGACAATGATCCCTGGCATCACAGTTTATGATGGGAAGAATGTATGTGGGAAACAGAGCTTGGAAAGTTACTTTTTAGCATTACAGGTCCCAGAATCTATTGGTTACCGTACATGTTCCTAGTTTAGGACTCTGAAATCCTATAGGGCAGGGGTCCCCAATCCCTAGTCTGCAGCCCAGTGCCAGTCTGTGGGCTTCCCAGGACTGGGCCACGGAGATGGATCGCCACCCTCCCACACACATGCACGGTGGGCGTGTCTCGCTCATGGTGGGGGCATGTTGCACTCACATGTGAGCGTGACACCCCCCCGTGAGCACGACATGCCCCCCGTAAGCGTGACATGCCCCCCCGTGAGCACGGGGTGCCCTCCCATGGAACCCGCCCTTCAACCAATCCGCAGTTCCAAAAAAAGTAGGGCACCGCTGCTACAGAGCAGTTGACAGTTGCTACTGAGCTAATTTATGCTTTCAAGCAGATCCTGATCCTGAGACAATACTGAATTAGACAGATTGAAGAAGAGCTAAGAAAGTTTCCTGCCAAGGTTTGACCCTCATCTGCTCCAACTGGCAGCAGCTACCCAAGCCTCTGACAGAGAGCCTTCCACCTTAGTTACCTGACATTTTTAGCTTAGTCTTCCTTAATCTTGTGTCCTCCAGATATCTTCTGTTTTATTGTCTATTATTATCCCTAGCAAATCCAGGTTGATGAAGGCTGTTCTAGTAGGAGATACTGGGCAATATATTTATATATCTTTTTCATGGTTTCATTCCTATCCCTTTTTCTCTCAAGCATCTGGGTTTTCTGCATGTATGTGATATGCTTTGCTACAATTTGAAAAATAGTGCCGCATGTGCATTTTCCTAATTTCACTTGTTGTACAAGGTTTCCAATTACTGTATATAATACTGGTAGAATATACCAGATGGGCGGGATATAAATCAAACAAATTAAATGAGTGTATGAATGAATGAATGAATGAATGAATGAATGAATGAATGAATGAATGAAGTTGCACATTGAAGTATGCAAGATACAGTTATGGCTCAGGTTTAAGTTTGCCCTTTTTCAAGAGGACCGTTTTGAAAAATTAAACAATGTTTGATATGACAATTGAAGTTGCTGTAAAAAAATCAAAATAACAACAGTCCAGTATTTGCATGTTGAAAGCTGATTGCATATTTTCTGCTATCTGTCCTTAACACTGGATGCTGTAACCAGGCTTCCAGATGTCAGTGGAGTAGAAATGAACAGCTAAATTGTACATCGTAGCATGTGTGCATATGTGCTAATTTATGCTTTCAAGCAGATCATGATCCTTCTATGTTAGGTGGTCTGCAGATTTTAGGATTATAAGCAACAGAGAAGGCAACCTGGTAGTATCCATGTCAGGGGCAGAGAACCTTTGTTCCAAAAGATGTTTTGAATTACTGTCCCACAATCTCTTACCACTCTTAATGTTTGGTAGATCTTATTGGATTTGTAGGCTGATACATGTTGCTCTACATGTTGCTGGGCAACTCTTTTAACTCTGGTCACTATTGGATAGCATGATGGATTTGGTGGGTACCAGGCTACTATCAGACAAAATTGTAAAGGACAGGTTTAATGTTTTATTTATATACTTGTATGATTTATGTCTCATGTTTTCCCACTAGTAAAATTCAAAGCGAATGTCAATTAGATGCAATCCAAATGTAATAAATCAACCGTCTACAGTGGGGTCTCGACTTACGAACGGCCCGACATACGAACGTTTCGACTTACAAACTGCTCTCATAGGAATATATGGACTCGACTTACGAACTTAGATTCGAGTTACGAACTCTTTCTTTTCCTTTCTTTAAAAGCCAAATCATCTTATGTTAAAAGGAAAAAAGAAAAAATATCCCCCTCTAGTGGCAGAAGGTGGAATAGCAGCTTCCCATTAGTTTCTATGGACGAAAAGAGCAGATACGGATTAAATGGTTTTCAATGCATTCCTATGGGAAATGCAGATTCGACTTAAGAACTTTTTGACCTGAGAACTGCCTTCCAATACGTATTAAGTTCGTAAGTCGAGACCCCGCTGTATTCACAGACCTTTAGTGGAATAAGAGTGACACACATTCCTGCCCTTCACTTTCAGTCATCCAATTGCCTTCACTGGATTCATGTGATCTACCAACATTCTTTCTTTTCCTCCTTGTAGTCTGGATTCAGTCTTGTAATGAATCACCCAACTTGTGTCAATGAGATTACGCTGAGCCTCAACAATAAGAACCCAAGGTAGGACTTCAGACCTCTTTTTCTGACAGTCAGGTCCTTCCCACTAGGGACAGAGGAATTAGTCTTTTTGTATCTCAGTTTAGTTTCACATGTGTTCATCCACATATTGACAATGTTTCATTTTCACATTCAGCTGTAGCCTTTTAAAATGCAAGAACAATGTATCTTACTAATTACTATATTTCAATTGTTAGATATTTCCATTTTTAATAAACCTACATTTTCATCACTTTTTTAAACTATACTTCCCAGATTCAACACTAAGCTATTAGGTTACTGGGAGTTGGACTGTAGCTTCTGATGGGCCGGGTAGCTGGAGGATTCTGGAAGTTGTAGTCTAAAGAAATAACTATTTGAAGCTCAGATTTTTTTAAACAGTGTATCACAAAACATGCATTCATAAATGTGTTTGATCACCCAAATATGTATCATGCCCAGATTTTGGTGCATGTTCTTTGTGACAAAATTTGATTTGCAAACCCCAAAGGATAGCATTTATGTTCTACACATTATCCGAGAAAGCTGCCAGTCAGGTTGGTTTACTTCTAAATGCAAACCAAACAAAATTCTCCACGTGCTGCTTGCTGCCAGTAACTTCCTCTATGAAAGAGCTTGAAAAAGTTACTTTTTTGGACCACATATTCCAGAATCACCTTGCCAACCATGACCACTGGCCATTCTTGCTGGGGGTGGGTGGTTCTGGGAATCGTAGTCCAAAAACTAGATCTTGCAAGGCTCTGTTCTTTGGTTCCTATGGAGAGAATTGCTGGATTTGAGGCTGGGGAACAACTTGTACTTACGATGGAACTGTGTTAATAGCAACCCTAATAAGACTTCCAAGGTATGTTAGATATTTAAGGAGTGGTTTTACTAGTTCCACCACCCCTCTGTGAGTTTCCATGACTGAGCAGGGATTCAGATCTAGATCTTCTAGGTCCTAGTTTGTCCGTGTATCCACTATGCCTCACCGGGTATCTCTGCAGTTAAGGGCAAATATAGGTAGGGTTCTGTTCTGGAGTAAGGAGCATTCTTGACTTCGTTGTTCTCTTTGTTTCAGGACAAAAGCCCTGGTGCTCGAACTGTTGGCTGCTGTTTGCTTGGTCCGAGGTGGGCATGACATCATCTTGGCAGCCTTTGACAACTTCAAAGAGGTTTGTGCGCTCCTTTTTGTGATGCTGGTTCATGTGACAGCAAAAGGGGAAATGTTGGGTCCTCCAGATGTTTCGAATGATTTCCTCCACAATCCCTTAGTATTGACTGCCTTGCCTGCAAGGTCCAGGACCTGACATGCAAAACATTTGGAGGGGCCAGAGGTTCCTTGCCCAAGAGCTAGAGCAATCATCAAAGGTGCAACACAATTGTACAGGTGGATGTTAGTGGAAAATGATAAGGGCTCTAGATGTAATCATCTTAGAAGAGCCCCTCTCTCTGAGTGATAATACGCATTACTTCATTTATCTAAAATTGAGATAAACCAGCTCTGATATCTTTGGAGAGCTTATTCTCCCTCTCCCCTCTACATGTCTCCTTCAAGTCCAGTCAGATTAGAATATACCCACAGGAGAGGCTCTGAGCTTCCTCATGATTCATTGTTTGGGCTTTTGCCCAGTTAGTATTCTTTCACACATATGTAACCTTTCAGAAGGTCTGCACTGGGTCTTAGAAGATTTGTCCTGCTGTGCAAATCATTCATCTTTAGTCTTTTGCATTAGTATCTGTATCAGAATTACCTACCCACAAAGAAGATAAACCTGGACCAATGACTCATTCAGAAACACAGGGCCTGGGCTCCTCAGAAAGTGAATAGCTGTTAATTCTTGCACCTCCTAAAATGTAAGCTTTTTAGGAGGAGTGGTGAAAGGTGGCTCCAAATATCATTCAGAAAAATGCTAGTCAGATGCAGAGTTTGGGAAAGTTGCTTTTTAAAAAAAATTTCCAGCTCCCACAAATCTCCCAGCCAGCATGGATTTTGGGAGATCTGGACCAGAAAAGGTGACTTTTTCCAAACTCTGAAGATGGGTGTATGTGTCTGTTGGCACTCACAGGAATAGAAACCAGCTCCATCCATTTTGCTCTGGATTCCTTTGCTGCTACCTTCTGTGCATTTCTCATCCCATCTCTGCATGACTTCGATTGCTGAGAACATGCTCTGCAAAGATGAAAGCTGGGATTGTCAAGCCTTTCATATTCTTGTTAAATATACGGTGTGGTTTTAATGTATAATTTTAAGTAGCTGCTAGAAATGGAAGCTGAAGCAAATTCAGATGAGCACATCCTCTCGCTGTGGTGCAATTTGTGTATGAACAGTATGAATGAAGGCACCTGCTGCTCTTGTAAGGCCAAACTACATGTGTCATGAGATGTGATTTGCACTTGATGCTTAGGGAATCTTAGGAAGCAAATTGCATCTGCCAAGAGAGGGACTGATTATTGAAACAATCCATGCAGGTATGGAGGGGAAATTTAATTCTGTCTGGTCCGGAGGATATTCCTTTCTATGAAGCCAGTGTTCGCACTGGCAGGAAATCCCCCCTTCTGCTTGTGCTTGGTTTTGTCTGTACTAGGCTCTATAGGAATACTTAAAGAGACTGTAAAACCTTTTGGAAATTAGATGGTGAGAGGTGGGATGAGGTGGGCAAAGTGCAGCCTAGAGGTCATATGCACCCTTAGGCCATTTTTGCAGCCTCTATAATTACCCCCTGGGCAAAAAAAGTAGAAAAAGTCAATTTTGTGTAAAGTGCTCCTGAATGTCTATTCGAACAATGCCCTGAAATTTCACAAGTCCTCAACACCTTAAAAAACAAAACAAAACAAAAGCCTCCCCAGAAAACCCAGAAAAAAATAAACTTGAAAGCAGAGTTCTAGTCACAGTTTTGTTTTTGTTGTTGTTGTTTTGCTCGCATGGGGATTGGGGTAGAAAATTACCTCCCCCCCCCTCCGATCCTCTGAAGTTGCTCATCGCTGGGGTGAGTGAGTGAGCAAGAAGGGAAGGGAAACTGGTGTCTTTAGCCATCATGCTGTTACCTGTAAACTGACACAGGAAGGTGTGACAAAGGGATTACTTAGGTTACATAGGGTAAAACATGCCCATAAACCAGGCAGGCTATACCAAAGTCTTTGGAGAAGGAAGAAATGGAATCCAAGCATCATATAGGAAGGCATAAACCCGATCTCATTCCCAACACGCTTGAGTAAATTGGGTCTGAGGGAGGGGCCGCACTTGACACAGGCTTTCTTGCGTATGTTGAGAATTCATAGTTCTGCCCACATTAAGCCATATTGGAATTCCTGTTCAACTGTGCCAGTGTAGAGGTGGCACAGAGATCGAGCTGTTAATGTTTTTGTGTGTATGTGTGTTTAATATATTTACTTTTAACCCTTCTGACTGTCAAAAAATGATGCGTTTGTTAGGGAGGTCACTCCTCACCAGCATTAGCTATGTTCATTATGAGGTGAATTTTGATCACTTCTCAAATGAAAAGCATTTTTAGATTGGTTGTGCCATTCAAGCTACATGGCTAAAGAAGTATTTTTAAACAAAAACAGACATTCAACATGATCTTAGACCAAACTCTGGTTGTCACGCTATCTCAGTTTATCTCACTCTCTTTGCACCATGTTGGCAGGGAAAAGCCTAAAAGAAACTATGGTCAGCGTTTCCATAACTGATGGGTCTCTACACCATGACTGCTTGTGTAATCTTATTTTCTTTTTCTTCATTAGAAGCTAATGGTCTGTGCCTTCCCCTAGTGCTGCTGAATTGAATCACTCATCAGCAAACAGTAAAGTACCTGCTTTGACCACATCAGCTCCTCCTCACTGCCCATGAATAGCCCAGTCCTCAGAATGTTCCTGCCTTTCTAAGGACTATGGAGGACAAAACAGTAAACCGACTTCCTTCCTTCCTTCCTTAACCCCCCCCCTCTCTTTTGCCTGTTCATTTGGGAAAAACCCATCCTGAATAATCAGGTTGTTTAAAGCAGCATTGTTCTCCATAAGGAGAGTGAGGCCTGAAATTTCAAGTAGAATTATTTGGACATTTTAAAAAAAATTAAGTGTTTTGGGGGAAAAATAATTTTCAAAAAAAGATATTATTTGCCTGGGAATGTCTTGCCAGGCCTAAAAAAAACTCCCCAAAGCAACTGAAGAGTGACAAGAGAGGAGAGCTTTTACTTTTCTGAGCTTTGGGGTTTTGGCGCTGGGGCACCTACCTTTTTCTCATTGTTACATTTTGAGACAGAAGCGCTTTTTTTGCGTTTGAAGAAATTAACTTCTCAGTCATATCTTCTAGATGGACAGATAAACGTGTCTCTGACTCCAGTTTTTATAGTGGACACCTCTTTGGATATGTTATTACTGGAATTTCATTCCTTGGCACCTGACCTTGTCACTAAACAGAGTATACACACAGCCCGCTTGATGCTGAAGGGTAGATCTTTGCTCAAAACCTAACCTTATAAATGTTCCTTTTGTATCACGAAAGCTTGATAGGGACAAACACTCCTTGATTCCTTTCCTTCAGAAACAAAAGATGGAAATGAAGTTCTCCTCTTCTCTCTCTCAGAGTGGGCAGAAAATCACTCTCCACAATTTTAAATATGAAAACACATTCTGTAATTCTGGTTCCCCTCAACATTGTGTTGCACGTACTATCTGTGACACTCTCCTCCCTCCACCCTTGCCATCTTCTCACCATTTCACTGCCCTGGTGTTTATTTCTTTGTTTAAATTTCTGTGCCTTTTCTTGTTTGCATGACCAGCTTCCAAAAATAAGGATTAAAAACAGCAGAAAGCATTGAAATACAAAAATCCAGTTAAAAGGAGAATATACTGACGATTCATAAGATAACTTTGATACAGCATCTGACTAGAGACCCAAATATCTATTTATTTTACTACATTTCACTAGTGAGTCTGTGAAATGTTAGTTACTTGCACACAATGTAGCTCTTTCCAGCAGTTCAGCTGCCAAAGAGCCTGCTTTCGCTCATTTCAAACTCTTGTAAGGGTGTAATATCATCTTGGGTGAAACGTTCATTGGCATTGAGGGCTCCAAGCAAACAGGTGGGAAGCGAGCAAATGAAAGGCAGTGATCCCTAGGAGAAATGCCTTCCTTTTCCACCCTGCCATCTCCAATCCACCACCCTCATCTAGATCAGGTATCTGTCATAGTCTTGACTACAGACTGTAGCCGTTGTAATCTGAGGAGTAGTAATAACATTTTAAACCAAGGGAGAAGCTTGTATGTAAGTGGTGCTGTGTAATATTACATGTTCTGGAAGACTTAAAGCTACCCTGCATGTCTCCTTGGCCACTTATAGAAATGTGTATCTTTATTAAACGAAACCAACAAGATTTTTCACTTTACAACTCTGCAAAAGTCAGTAGAGCTCTCCCAATGGAGAGCTGAAATCATGCACATTACATATTACACTTGTAGTTACATCTTTGTCTTTTCCTCCCCTCTCTTCAACACCCCCTTACTTTCAGAATGTAGACAGCAAACTCCTTTTTCTGCTTATGTTCTTCCTCTCTAAATCCTCCTGCCCAGTTGGGATAGTAACAATAACTGCAAATCTTCCTTGCTTCTTTTTCTAAAGGCTTGATCCTTTTCTGTCTCTGTTATATTTCTTGTATCAACTCATTATTCTGTATGTGGTTTGTGCGCGCGCGCATGAATGTGCATGTGTTGACTATTTGTTGGACTTAAGCCAAGGATAAACGAATTTAAATCTGTCAGCTAGGAATCTTACACATGCTCCTGGATTGGTCATACATAGTTCTGGACCTGGCCTACACTTCAAGGCTGTTGTAAAGGCTAAAAAATGATAAGCTCCATAGGTTTCTTGGAGAAGGGATTGCATTCAAACATAATAAAATAGCCTAAAATTAATTTCAGTTATTTTGCTACTTGCTATATATTACTGGATGACATATAGGGGGAAATTAAGCATTCTGTTGAAATACAACATCTTTTCACCCATGTTACCAGAAGCAACATTGAACTTATTTTGTATACTGTTTGTCTGCATACATTCTTAACATGGGATACAAAGCAGATGGGGGATTCTTTTATGTTAAACGTGTGTTTTAGGCAGTGTAGGTTTCACATTTGTGCAAAAATCCAAAGCTTGGGTCGCAGATATCTTTGTATTGCAACTGTGCCCAATCATGAACAACTGGAGTATACTCCTGTACTGCTGTGAGTCCTGGATCCTCTGTGCATGGCAGGAGAGGAAGCTGAACACATTCCATATGCGTTGTCTCCGATGCATTTTTGGTATCACCTGGCAGGAAAAATTCCAAATAGAGTAGTCCTAGAACGAGCTGGAATTTTTAGCATGTAGACTTTACTGAAACAGCAATGTCTATGTTAGCTCAGGCATGTCATGAGAATGGGTGATGGTCAGATTCCAAAAGATCTCTTGTATGGAGAATTAGTGCAGGGAAATTGCCCCAGAGGGAGACCACAGCTGCGATACAAGGATATCTGCAAGCGGGATCTGAAGGCCTTAGGAATGGACCTCAACAGATGGGAACCCTTGACATCTGAGCATTCAGCCTGGAGGCAGGTGGTTGCAGCATGGCCTCTCCCAATTTGAAGAGACCCTCGCCCAGCAGGCTGAGGCAAAGAGGCTGTCAGGAAAGCAGCAAAATCAGGGAGCTGGACAGGGGACAGATTGTATTTGTCTTCAGTGTGGAAGGGATGGTCAGTCTCAAATTGGCCTTCTCAGCCACGCTAGACATTGTTCCAAGATCTGTATTCTGAACACATTACCATAGTCTCTCAAGACTGAAAGATGCCTACACATGGGTCGCTTAATTAGGTTAGGCCCCAGTGTAGGCATTTTATTTATTTATTTCTTACTTATTGGATATATTTCCAGTGTAGGCATTTTATTTATTTCTTACTTATTGGATATATTTGTGTCCTCGTTTGTGGCCTGAGGTTACACAAACTGAAGAAGGAGAGGTTTAATAAACTAATAAGCACAAGAAAGATATCCAGTTTATTTCTACCTTTGGTAATACAAAGCTGGCAGTGCTGGAACAAAGAGCAAGCCTTCATCAGATACAAATAATGTTTTAAAACAGACATGTCTTCCAGCCTCTAGCCAGTATACTTATGCAAAAAGAGTTTGCAGTTTTCTGCACCTTTCTTAACTGCAATTCCTTTGAAGAAGTTGTGACCATTTTTAAAGATAGTATTGGGCTTGGCAACATGGAGGAAGTAAAGTAAGGCAGCAAAGATTAGCTTGGCAGACAAGATGACCTGGCAGGTAGACAGGCTGGTCAGCTAGTAAAGCAAGAAATGTAAAATCAGTCAGGGAATAATCTAATGACAGTGTGAGTGTCACCCCTGTCAATATCCTCAGATGCTGCATACCCACAGCAGAGTCAGAGGCTTCATACGCCAAAGGAGGGGTTTGCATTGCAAGCTTGAGGCCATGTTTGAATCCATTGACTAACTCCCATCAAAACAAATTCTGCCAAAAAAGGAGAGCTCATTTCCTGCTCCTCTAAGCTGCATGGGTGCCTGGCTGCGCAGTGTTGTATTGGTGCTCTGCCTCCACAGTTAGTGTTTGCTGCTCATTTGGTTCTGGTCATGGCCGGAACTTTGCATGCATGGGGCAGGGTTTCCACTTAGTGCTGGTGGAAAATTAGAGAGAACTTTGCCTGGAAGCATCTGAGAATGATAATCATCCAATAAATCAGGGTTTAGAGCTCCCTCCGGCCATCTCCAAACCTAAACCCACAAAAACGAAATATAGAAATGGACTTCGAGCAACATGCAGTGTTTATATTTCATACCACTTGCTCATTTTTTAGGGGCTGGTGCAGCCCCAAGTGGTTCTTGGGAGCAGAAGATGGGTCCTTGTGCCCTCCAAATGCCCCCACTGCTACAGGACTCAGTGAGCTTTTCACTTGAGCTCAGTGGGGCTGAAAGCTGCAGTATCAATCCCTGGCCACCTGCCATGCTGGTGCCAAAGTATAATGAAGCAGAAGCTGTTTTGGGTGGGCTGGTCCTTATGCATGAGTAAAATGTCTAATTCTGGCCCCAGTGTCATACAGACGGTTGAAGTGACAAGGCAGGTCAGTGGCCAACCAAGCTGGCTGTACCTCTTTCTTCTTCATAGGTGTGCGGTGAGAAGAATCGTTTTGAAAAGCTGATGGAGTATTTCCGAAATGAAGACACCAACATCGATTTCATGGTAATGTATGGGGCAGGGATGGGCATTGATTAGCCTCTTGGCTTCAATTACTGTGCCTTTTCCAACACTCCCTAATCCACATGTATATAAGACACAGGTAGCCATACCACTAGGGCAGAATGAAGTGATTGTCTTAGGCAGCAGGTTCGGGCTATTGTGGATGGGAATGAATGCTATTTTGTTGTTCTTGTTATTGTAGTTTTACTGCCACAAAGAGGGATAGATGTCTCTGTGGTTTTCTGTCAGTTATATCACAATAACTCGTCAGCTTCAGGTACTACATCCTTTGAACTATGTGGCAGGGGTGATCATGAAATGGCCTCTCTCCTTCAGAAGGGAACATGCCAACTGTGTGGGCAGAGCAGATAAAACTTGCTTTTCCCCTCTCTCTCTCACTTCCATTTGCTTCTTTGGCTTCCAAATTTGTCTCAACAAATCGTATCACCATATTGGAAACATTTTGATGATGGTCCACCCATCAGTTCTCTATCAAAGGAGGGAAAGTATCTAAGAATGCATTTAGGCAATCAAGTTTTATTTGCTGGCAGAATGATCTTGTGATCACCAAGTGATGGAAATTGGTTGTGGGAAGAGTACCAGTACTTACCATGTAAACTAGAATTTGCAAGGCATCAGACTTAAACGTAAACATATCCAATGTATTCTCAAAGGCTTTCACGGCCGGGATCCAATGGTTGTTGCAGGTTTTCCGGGCTGTTTGGCCGTGATCAGGATACAGTATATCCCTTTTTTCATTTTTTGAAAGTCAAAGAAAATGGGGAATTGCATCCAAAAATGTTTCTCTAACTCTAGTTGCCAGTGTAGACCCATTAAGTCGACGAGGTTTCAACAATTTATTTAGTGGGAGTTACTTTAGTTAGGTTAAACCGCGGAAGCCTCTGTGCTGCAAAGTCAGAAGACCAGAAGTCGTAAGACTGAATCCACGTGACAGAGTGAGCTCCCATCGCTTGTCCCAGCTCCTGCCAACCTAGCAGTTCGAAAGCATGCAAATGCAAGTAGATGAATAGGTACCACCACGGTGGGAAGGTAACGGCATTCCATGTCTAGTCACGCCGGCCACGTGACCATGGAAACTGTCTACGACATACACTTGCACATATGCTTGGAAACAGGGAGGAGCACCGCCCCCTAGAGTCGGACACGACTGGACTAAATGTGAAGGGTAACTTTTACCTTACTTCAATTAGGACTAGCAGTTGGATTTAGGTCAGCAGATTCCATCTGTGTCCGGGTATCACTAATAATAAATAATAATTGCATTCCATCAAGTTGATTCTAACTTACAGTGACTCTTTGCACGACTTTCTATGTGTAAAGTACTTAGAAATGGTTTACTTTTCCCTTCTTCTGTGAACACTGTGAGACTGTGCAGCTTGCCCAAGACTGCAGAGGATGGTTCTCCCAAAAGGCACAGTGAGGAACAAAATTTCAGATCTCTGGCTCTGCAGCCAGATACCTAACTCACTGAGCTATCCAGCTGGCTTAGTCCCACATCACTTGGCAAAGGTTGGGAAATGAGAAACATAGTGTCATCAGAGCATGGTTTATGACATACTATCTAAGGGATTAGGAAATGCACCGTTTCCATTTGTGGAGTTACCCCTAGCATTGCATCACATCTGCTGTGGCCCCAAGTCAAACACAAAAACAATTAACTTTTAGAACTATTTTTAATGGTGTAATGATTTGATTTTATTGTTCAAGCTGAAAGTGAAGACAAAACATAATCAATTAACACAGTCTATAAAAAGAAATTAAGATACTGCTAAACCAGTTTAGTCATATTAATACAGTGGAGAGCTATGCAGAAGAAGTTCATATAAGTTTAAAACAATTATCATATACCAATAAGTTTTTATTTTAATTTCCATGCGGTTCAGAGTTGGCAATAGAATGTTTGAAATGTCTGCCTGTCTACTGATTTATCTAACTGACCTGTATTTCCAAAAAACTGAGTGAAAACTAGACATTGAAACTCTGCTGAAAGTTTCTATGACAGGATAGTCTTAGGTATCAAGAACAAGGCAAAAAATAAAAAATAAAAAATAAAAAAATTACATCAAGAACAAGGCAAAAAATAGCAAATAAAAAAATTACAAATTGACATTCCCTAAAATCAGATGTGTTTGTTTCTGTCTTCCTACACTCCTGTCCTCTTTCACGATGTTTAGGTGGCTTGCATGCAGTTCATTAACATTGTGGTTCATTCTGTGGAGAACATGAATTTTCGTGTCTTCTTGCAATATGAGTTCACACAGTTGGCGCTGGATGAGTACCTAGAGGTAAGAAGAATGTCCCAGGCCTCTCTCTCTCTCTCTGTATTATGCTTATCCATTCTCAGCTGATTATAGTTACTTTTTGTTAGTCTTCTAGCACACTGGTTCTTAACCTTGGGTTACTCAGGAGTTTTGGACTGCAACTCCCAGAAGCCTTCACCACCAACTGTGCTGGCTGGGGTTTCTGGGAGTTGCAGTTCAAAAACATCCGAGTAACAAAGGTTAAGAACCACTGTTCTAGCATTCCTTACCTAGCAATTAGTGATTCTGTCATGGACGCATGACAGAATATGCCCTGGTCCTGATTTTAATGTCAAGCTCTCCCTCTTCTACCTCATCAGAGGCTGCGATATACAGAGAGTGACAAGCTACAAGTGCAGATCCAAGCCTACCTAGACAACATCTTTGATGTAGGTGCTCTACTAGAAGACACTGAAACGAAAAATGCTGTTCTGGAGCATGTGGAGGACTTGCAAGAGGAAGTTTCCCAGGTGAGAGTGCCAGCTAAGTCATGCACCTTGAGATCTTTGGGGACAATGCTCCTAACATGGATGTGGGGCCGTGGCTCAGAAAAGAGCTTTGGCTGGAAAAGAAAGCCTTTCTCACTCCACAGGCCCCTAAAGGAAACTGGATTCAAAGTCATATGACCTTCTTCAGCATTCCACATGCACAAGTCTCAAATTCCTATACTTGAGCAAGCCGGGGTGTCTGCACTTTATTTGTTTGTTTGTTTATTGGATTTTTATCCTGCCCATCCAGACCAAGGGTCTACTGTTGCACTCCCTGCCTATGCTGTTGTTCTGCTCAGTCACTCACTCACACTTGTTCTCTTTTGTTCTGGCTGTTATGAAATTCTTTATTAACACAGGGCCGGCCCTACCATGAGGTAGTATGTCATGAAGCACCTGGGAAGAGGTGCATAATGGATAGAGTTGTACTTGACACATGTCCTGGCCTCTGCCACCGAAGCTAACCTAGTACACTCAGTCAAAGTGTGATCTTATTGAAAGAAGATGAAACTCCCAATCTGGTCAATTTTTAAGTACAGTATAGAATTGGAGGGAGAGGAAGATGTCTTGTCCTTTGCCCCAGGCAGAAACATGCCTTGATCCAGTCCTGCTCAAGGAAAAATTTCTCTTCACAGCTCACAGAGAGACTTCAGGATGCAGAGAATGAGTCTATGGCCAAGGTTGCTGAGTTGGAGAAACAGCTGTGCCAGTCACGCCGTGAGTTGGAAGCTGTGAGGGTGAGGAGCACAAGTGATGAGCAGGTATGGCACCATCATGGAACAGGCTGGAGCTTCAAAACATTGCATGTTAAGACAACAGCTCCACAGATATCCTACCCAGCATTTCCTCATTGTAAAGAAATTGTATGTATACATGTTGCAAGGCTTTGAGTTATAAGATGGGAGAGAATTATAAGAACTATAAGGCGTGAAGGAATTGTACATCCGTGGGGTGAAGGGCTTCTACCAGAGTAGAATGCAACATCAGGCTGGCATCCAGCTAACTGATGTTTTCACAAGTAATGGAAACTCTGATTGTATACAAAGAGAAGGAATCTAAATTGATAATGTTTTGCGCTGAGGTGAATATTCCATGGTTCTCCGCTGGTCCTTCATTGCACAGTAGTGGGATGTCAAGATTCTTACTACAGTGATTGACAAATGGAAGCTGCTCTTTGTTCCTTCAAAGGGGAGGGTGTGTTTCCAGATGGGAATATATTCCCTGCAGTTGTGAGATGAACAGAAATTGTGTAAATATTGTTGCAGCAAAAACAACAAAAAGGAGTGAAACTTTGAAATGCACCAGCTCCCTGTAATGCTGAACTTATCTTATTCAGCCTTAAACTTTGTTATTTTTTTATTTTGTATGATATAATGTAAAACCCCACCCCTGACACATTCAACATGCCCATAAGATATGGGATCTAGGACATCCCAAATGTTCTGAATTTTGCATTCCACATTTCATGATTTCCTAATCCCAGTCTCTCCTTTTTAGACCTCACAGGAGCAGGTCAACAAGACAAAAAGTCCAAGGACTCCCCCTTTATTACCAAAACAGCCATCTCAAGGGGCAGAAGAAACCCCATCAAACTCTGCATTGGAGCGCAAACTAGAGGAGCTGGAAGACAAAGGATTAATCCGGATCCTGCGTGGACCTGATGGAGATGCCATCATGGGTATTGAAGTCATCCCTGTTGTGGTGGAAACCACAATAGCTTCCTCCATTACCATTGAAGCCCCTTCATCAACCAGCACAGGTATGGTATCCCATAGAATGACCTCCAGTTTAACCATTCATGGCAGAGATTGGCAGTTCACAGTATTTAGCTCCTACTGGGCTCCACCACAGTGAGAAGGATCCAGCGGTATGGAGAACCTTTTCAAATACTCCCATATAAAAATATAACTTTCTGTACTGAACGAACATATCAAGGAGAAAAAAGAGCGATCTTTCCCCTCACTAAACAATAAGTGGGGTGCATTTGATTTATGGATTCCTCAACAGGTCACATGAAATGGTACAAACCATCAATCTTTGACCAGAGTTTGGAAAGGAGATTTCTTTCTACTACAACTCCCAAAGTCTCCCAGCTGGGAGAGAGAAGAACTTCTTCAAGGTGTTCACTTGACCATCCTGATAATTTTTGTCTTCTCTAGGTTTTATATTAATTTAGGAAGGTAGAAACTGGTTTCTTTATACAAACCAAAGTCACTTACTTTAATGTTCTAGGATGTTCTGTTCATGCACTCCATATGCCTGAAAATTTACTTATATTTTTTACTTGTTGTAATGCTTGAGCGGGATCTGAAGGCCTTAGGAATGGACCTCAACAGATGGGAAACCTTGACATCTGAGCGGTCAGCCTGGAGGCAGGCGGTACAGCATGGCCTCTCCCAATTTGAAGGGACCCTTGTCCAGCAGGCTGAGGCATAGAGGCAGTCCTGAAACCAGCAAAATCAGGGAGCTGGGCAGAGGACAGATTGTATTTGTCTTCAATGTGGAAGGGATTTTCACTCTTGAATTGGCCTTCTCAGCCACACTAGATGCTGTTCCAAGTCCTCCATACAGAGCATATTACCATCGTATTCGCGAAGGCTTTCACGGCCGGGATCTAGTGGTTGTTGTGGGTTTTTCGGGCTCTTTGGCCATGTTCTGAAGGTTGTTCATCCTGATGTTTCACCAGTCTCTGTGGCCGGCATCTTCAGAGAACTGGAGTAGGAACTCTGTCCATGGAACTCTGACCATAGTCTCTTGAGAATGAAGGATGCCTATATAAATGCTTGAGCAAACAGTTTTTTTTTTAAAAATCCACAACTGCTTATAATAGGGAAGCAATCATCGTACCTGCTTCTTTTCTTTCCAGATTTTCCTTCTCCATCCACATCCCCAGTTCCTTCATCTGCTCCAGAAATCCCGCCGCCACCACCTCTGCCATTTGCTGAAGAAAGCAGCCCCAAGGTTATCCCACCTTCTCAAGTGGAAGGCTCACCTCTGGTACCACCTCCTCCTCCGCTAGCACCACCCCTTCCTGGGGCCAATGAGCCTCCGCCGGCTCCACCACTTCCTGGGGTGACAGACACAGCCCAGCCACCTCCGCCACCACCACCACTCCCTGCAGTGGATGGCCCAGTTCCTCCTCCTCCTCCTCCTCCACCCATGGCCAATGGGGCCAATCTGCCCGGTGTTGCAGGGAGTTCAGGTGAGTTGAATTCCTTTTTTGAAGAGAATACTTCATATCCAGGTTCTGTATGAGTAATGCACTCTTCTATGTACACATTTATTTCATACACTTACTCACTTTGCATCATTACTTTGTACACACACAAAGAAAAAAATTATATTTTATCCAATGAGTTTTAATCTTTTAATGAAGTAACTAAATCTTTTTAAGAACAAACCAATCGTATTTTTAACAGATTATTTAAAGTCAGTGTGGTGACAAACATTCATAGGCTAGAATCCTACTGGCAATTTATGCGTCCACAAGGGAAATTATGCAAGCTACAGGAGTAAATTGCCACTCATTAATGGGGTACTGAGCTGGCTGGATAGCTCAGTGATTTAGGTATCTGGCTGCACATGGGTAAAAATAATATTTTTACCCCTGTGCAACATCAAAATGAATTTATAAGTTAAAGACATCTTTTTGATACATTTATGTAAGCAGACAGCATTAAGTAGACAAATATTGTATCTTTATTAATTTTATATAAATTAGGGCTACATTCTTGAAAAGGGGGAATCATGAGTCATCCCATTTTATTTTCACTGTGTTCCTCAGGCAGTTTATGGTGCAAGAGAATGATTCTCTGCAGTGTCTCAGGGAGATCCATAGCTGAATGTGGGCTTTAATGCAACTCTTCCTATTTAAAGGCCATCCTTGTATCAACATGAGCTGAATCTTTCTTCTGGATCCAATGATCTGAAGTACAACCTGATAACTGTGCTTACCTTCCTGGGTTGCTTTCTCTAACCGACCCCAAGTGGATGACAGCTGTGGAATTCTCCTTTTTAAATATCTAATTCTGTCAGAATGGTTTTACCTATAGATAGGCTCAGAAAGAGAGAAGTCTCCAATTTTGGGTGAAGGTGGTACATATAGATTCTCACAGGCTTGCTTCTCCTTTTGCAGCTGTAAAGATCAAGAAGCCAATTCAGACAAAATTCCGAATGCCCATCTTCAACTGGGTGGCCCTGAAACCTAACCAGATCAATGGGACTGTTTTCAATGAACTCAATGATGAGAAAATCCTCCAGGTACCTCCAGGCTGAGTTTTTTAAATTCTCCCTTCCTTCTTTTTGTTCTTCTTCCCTGGTTATCCAATCCATGCTGTGTGATCATTTTTGACTTCCTCTTGGTGCAGGAGCTGGACATGAATGACTTTGAGGAACAGTTCAAAACCAGGGCTCAAGGCCCTGCCAGGGAAATCAGTACTTTGAAGGCAAAAGTGGCCCAGAAGGCCCCCAGTAAAGTGACACTGATTGAATGTAACCGGGCAAAAAATCTGGCCATTACACTCCGCAAAGGGGGGCTCACCATTGACAGCATATGCAAAGCCATCCAGACGTGAGTAATAGACAGAAACTTAAGAATCTTTTTTCTTACCAAATCAGGTTCCCAGTAGGGTGGATAGAGGTTGAGATAGTTGTTTTGGATTACAGAACCCAGAAACCAAGGAGTTATAGTATAAAAAGTGACCTTCTGAAGTTCTCCTGCACACATGCATGCATACTGAGGCAATGAAAATTGAAGGTATTCTTGATTTAAAAGGTGGGTCAACCAGTAGGAACTGTTGATGATTTAGTAGGACATTTATCCCAGTAGGGTGGATAGAGGTTGAGATAGTTGTTTTGGATTACAGAACCCAGAAACCAAGGAGTTATAGTATAAAAAGTGACCTTCTGAAGTTCTCCTGCACACATGCATGCATACTGAGGCAATGAAAATTGAAGGTATTCTTGATTTAAAAGGTGGGTCAACCAGTAGGAACTGTTGATGATTTAGTAGGACATTTATTTATTTA